CATTTTTCAATAAAATAATATTACATGCACATTCATAATTTTTCCTTATTTTTTAACCACACATTTCCCATCAATCTTCTATTCCAAAATACATTCTTAGGTTCAAATAAGCTCGAAATCTTGTCATCACAAGAAAATCATAGATCAGAAAATATAGACTGAAACTGAGCCGGGGAGTTCTGATATTTACTTATGAGAGAGAAATGCACCTGAATTCTAACCTGGAAATAGCTTGTTTTACACAGATTACCTGTCTAAAGATTTAGAGGATTTTTAAGTAAGAAGCTATGTTATCTGAAATCTTAATCGATGTGGTCAATGTGTTTGAGAATGGTGTCTCCAATCTACGAACTTCTATTTGACTCAATTATAAGAAGTTTTACTGGGTTTCAAGTAACCATGGCTACAGTCTGAAATAATGAAATCTTATCGTCACAGGAAAATAATAAATCAGAAGACATAAACTGAAACTGAGCTGGTGAGATCTGATATTCACTGATGAGAGATAAATGCATAGGCAGAAATTTTTCTGGTCCCTGAACTTTTAAAAACCAAGGGTTCAACTGAACTGTGAAATGTGAAATCATCCACCCTTGATGATTTTTTGAACATTCTTCTGCAGTCCTAGTTCCTTCAAGTGTGAACGGCTTCCTGGCTTCAGCTAAGCTTGTACATTGCAACTTCTGCACCAAAAAGTTAAAAAAGGGTGAAGATTTTAAGGAAAATAGAATAGAGAGGCAATGTTGGAGAATTTAGTCTGTGGCTGAAGGCATGGACTGATGTCTTTTGTGGGAAGAGCTAGAAATTCATTCTTGTGGGACCGGACCATAATATAATGGAGCAACTGTAGAAGATATTCTTCATATGAAGCCACACAAGCATACATAGGGCAAATAAAACTTTGTGATGTCCCTTCTTTTGACTTCATTCTGTTAAACTTATAATGAGAAAGCAAAATTCTCTACTTAGTATCTTTCTGTAAAGAAATAAAAGTTAAGAAACTAATAGTTATGTCAATATCTCTAACCTTACAACAAACTCTCTCCATTTGCAATGGCCAGAGATTTTTGTGTAAGAGTTGAAGTATTTAATATAAATATTAGTTTTTAAGTCTCGATAATTCATACCTGAAGATACAAAAGAAATAGAACTTTATGATATACCTTCTTTTGACTTCATTCTGTTAAACGTATAATGAGAAAGTAAAATTCTCTACTTAGTATCTTTCTTTAAAGAAATAAAAGTTAAGAAACTAATAGTTATGTAAAAATCTTTAATCTTACAACAAACTCTCTCCATCCGCAATGGCCAGAGATTTTTGTGCAAGAGTTGAAGTATTTAATATAAATATTAATTTTTAAGTCTCTAAAGTATATTAATTCATACCTGAAGATACAAAGGGGTAAAATATGATATGAATTTAATGAGCACTGTTCATTATCCTCGAAAGTAAGTTAAAGAACGTTTACATTGCACTGTAAACAGTGATCGATACCATTAACTAATCTGTAGCACACAAGTATCATGATGCATGTACACAAATCTGTCTTATGACATGAAACTATATTTATTTTGGGAATAGATGAACAAGAGTTAAATTCTGATGAGGATTAGACATAAACTGCACACTGGAATGATGAAATTTAGAGGGGGAAAAACTGATATGCAGGATTATCTAATTAGCATAAAACCTGAAGTAGGTAGACTTTCCAGCACTCAGGAGCTAGTGCAGTGATACTGGGCTAAAACCTTAGCTTTTATTTAAAATCAACGGTTTTAGATAAACTATGGATTAGAATGAAGACAATATCCTGTATGTGAAAACTACTTCAATATTTTGATATGAGCAATATAAAGCAGTCTCCTCCTAGTTTCTCTATGTAGTGACATGTTTCTATGTTTATAGGTAATACATAGGCCATTACATGAATCTATTTTCTCGTGTACTAATCAAGTATGCAACTTCCTGTGCTGAAATTATACCTTTATAATGTATTTGGTGTATAATTATTATGATCAATGATGTTACGCATAGACAACCTTGGACCACCCATACCACCAATATACAATGATGAACAAAGGGATATAATTATTATTATTGAGGCACAGAAACTAATGAGCACATGCTTTTAACAACTATTCGGTACTTGTGAAAGCAGAAGTTGAAATGAACGTATTTAAAATTTTGTAACTGCAATACAAATTATAGACAAGTGAAAAGGAAATTATATATATTTTGTATGCTCAATGTAAATCATTAGTTGTTGACTATTAGCTTCTCGATAGCTGTTAGATGGATTGGGCCTTGAGGAAAGGGAAATGTCTTGCTGATCTTACTCAAGTCGTTCATTATTCTTGTGTTCGAATTTCAGAGGGCACTGATGACAATTTTCTTTTGCAGCTGGAAAAGCTGAGTGATAAACAGTGTCAACCTGAATCTCAGCTGAAGTTCATAATAGAGGCCTGGCTACAGGTAAATTTTAATTTTCACATCGAGTTCCTTTTGACAAGTGGTATTGATTGGCTGCATTAATTTGGCACTAAGTTGATGTCTTTTAGGGAATATTTCATACAGCCAGTCTATACATGTGACACTTCTGGCTGGAAGTTGGATATAAGGAAGTTTAGGGCCCGTCCAAAAAGCCAAAGGATGGATTTAAAGAAATTTGTTTTAGTTTCATCTGGCAACATTATCATAATTCATTGTATTTTCTTGCTCAAGATGCAAATATAGATATATTTGCATAGAAACATGCTTTTTTAACTGATTGTTCCTTGCAAATAGTTAGAAGTTGGACCTAGTTTATCATGGTTAAAAATCATAAAATGTCCAACATCTTCAGATTTTTTACGCAAAACAGAAAGTTGATAATAAATCCTCTCTCCTTGGAGGGAATCTTTGAAGAGCTGCAATCCGCATCAGTGTGATGTTGCAGTATTCTTGAAAACTCATGCATTCGGTGCCTTGCAGATTAATCTGTCTTGTTCTTATCCCCAGTAGTCTTAAAAGATAGGTCAAAAAGAAATGTCACCAAGGATGTTCTCTGACTTGGAACATATTATGGTCCTCTTGAGGTCTTCCACAAGGCAGTTGCATATTTTATTCTTATCTTTACATTTGCCTTTTGCAGATTGTTGAATGTAGACGGGTTTTGAAGTGGACATATGCATATGGATATTATTTACCCGAGCATGAACAGGCGAAGAAGCGGTTTTTTGAGTACCTACAAGGTCTGTGTAAAATTGGAAGCTCATATATTTTTTGTGTTTTTTCCTTTTCTTTTGATGTAACATTGTATTTGTGTTCTTTAGGTGAGGCCGAGTCTGGTTTGGAACGGCTTCATCAATGTGCGGAGAAGGAATTTCAAGGCTATCTCAATGCTGAGGGTCCATCGAAAGATTTTAACGAGTTTCGCACAAAGTTAGCTGGACTTACCAGGTTCAGTTATAGTTGTTTCTTCAAGTGAACATTTTCTATTTCCTTCATTAGATCTAAATTATAGAATTTCATGTAAGACTGCATTCTAGCTGAACTGATGGTTCGGTTGCTGATGTTTCTTGTCGAAATTAATTGTGGAAATTAATATGACTTCAACATATAATCAATCTAAATTTATCTTTTTTTAATTTCAGTGAATATTTTGTGAGACAGATCATTGAAGATTATGTTCTTGTATTTTTAATATATTCTGGAGTTATGGTCCCAATTTCATTATAAATTAATAGACAATGTACTCACTGAGATGATTTCTGGTTATGTTCCTGGTTCATTTAATTAGTTATCGAAAATATCTTGTACCAGTTGGAGTTGCAATTTCAAAGAATCTATAGGAAGCTTAACTTGATTGAACAGAATCTTAGCGGAGAGTTTATTAATACTTCTAAAGCTGAATTTAAAAAAATAAAAGAATAAATAAAAAATAAATAAAATTGTTGTAACTGGTCATAGAGGCATATATGGTACAAGTGCTGCTGTCTAGGATGCATTCGTTTTAATGGGAGGAAATCATATCTTTCTAGGGTCCATTATTGTGGTCATTTAATAAGGGAAAACTGGTATTATTTTTTAAACTTAAGAGAGATGTTTGGTTAAGACCATAGAAAACAAGAATAGAAAATAATTGATTTTTTGTGGTCAGTCATAAAAAATTAGGACAAGACAGAGAAGTAAGGAGTAAAGGGCGGAAATGTTGGCAAAGGGATGTAAATATATTTACCCGAAATAGTGATTTCTCTCTCTCTCTCTCTTTTTTTAAATGAGGAGGAGCAAGGAAAAGAAAGCCCAGACTGGAAAATGGAGAGGGAGAAAGGGGTAGCAGTTGAAAGAAATTGAAGAAGTATGATCATTTAGGACATTTCTTTACATTTATGCAGTTACAGCTCTCCATCAAATTTTATTTTCGACTCCGTATTTTGTCACTTCAGTTTTTTCATTTCTTTGTAAGAAATTGCTTGAACCTTATCTCATTCAAAATTTTCGAATTCTAATTGCAGTGTGACTAAGAACTACTTTGAGAATTTGGTCGGAGCTTTAGAAAACGGTCTGTCAGATGTAGACTCCCAAGGCGGTTGCAATAGGGCAGGTAGCTCGAAAAATCTGGGAGGCGGTGGCAGCAAGGGGAAAAGCAATAGAGGCAAGGTAACTACGTCCAGGTCAAACAGTTCTCGAAACATTGATGATTCAGGACATTGGTCTTGTGAATATTGCACCTATGCAAATCCTAGATCAGTTGCTGTTTGCGTAATGTGCCAGCAACGCCGTTGAATGCTTTCATACTTGGTTTCACAGAACCAAATTATGTCTCGGCCAGTGCAGGCGCTCTGCCGCTCCCATGGGTGGACGTGGGAGGAAGAATTTCAGTTAGCATATTATGTTTTACAATTAAGTAGGTGCCTTGGGCCCGTCTATGACTCACGTTGACACCAGAATGAGTAAAAACGGTCGAAAACAATGTAGTGTCTGAATCATCTAGTAGTAAAATTTCGCAGTGTTAACTAAATTTATTTTTATTCCAAGCATTGAATTTAAACTCTAAGCTTCATTTGAAATTGTTTATTGAACCTATGTTCAATTTGTTCATCGTATCTATGTTAGTTTGGTTGATGAAAAGCTATTTATCGAGATAATTAGATTGTCACGTCACATTCCATTTTCATACAAATACAAGTCACTAGTATTTCTAGTTTCAAATAGATACACGAGCAGAAGATGTGCTAAAATAAGTTATTTTTCATCGAAGTGCTAAGATGCCGAAGCCCTTGACTCTCTCCGTCGCTTGCCAAATCACTTGGCCAAGTGTGAATAGGAGAGAGAGACTGTCTTCGGAAATTTTGAAGGGAAAGATACCATTGTAATTTCAAGTTTAAAAGATAAATCTTATAAGGGAAAGGCCCTTGTATACAGCTGACCCCCTGTGATTGGTTGGGGGGCCAGCTCAGCCCTGTGTATACAGGGGCCCTGTGAAAGTAGCAGGGCCCATCGTATAATTCTTTTGGTAAGAATTAAAATTTTCTCAATTAATCCTCAAGTTAAAAGATTAGGAATCTTCAAATTGCGACAAGCGAAAGCTTGGCAAAGCAATGACATGGAGGTGAAACGGTCACGGGTCCTAAAGAATTTTTACAATATTTCTGCCTTTTTTTTACTACAATAATGGTTCGTTGAGAAGGGATTTGTGATTGTGCATATCCTAAATCTTAGCCTTATTTTTTAGTGGTGCTATTTGATATCTTTCAAATCCTTTTATAGTTTTCTCTTCTATTTTCCTGATTAAAAAAAATACATGAGGTGAATTTATACATTTTATACATCCACTAAAACCATCCTAAGAGTCTCTAAATATAGGTTATTCTCTATTTTAGAGAATAAATACTTAAAAATAAGTTTTAAAAGATTCTATTTTAACTTTTTTGAATAATGAATAGGTATCGTATTTTATAATGATTACATTTAATAAATTATAGATTTAAACTATACTTGATAAATTATTTAAATCATATTTGAATTGATTGACCATTTACATCTCTCTCTCTCTCTCTCTCTCTCTCTCTCTCTCTACACACACACACACACATTGTTTTAAATAAAGAGTTTTTGAAAAATGTGTGGTTAAAAAGTAGAAAAAATTTCGTTTACGGATAGAATATTTTATTGTATGAATGTACGAATGAAAATAAATATATAGAAAAAAGAGTTTTAAAAGAATGACAGACAAACACGAACTAAATATGGTTTGGAAAAAGTAAAATAAGAACCAAAATAGATAATATTGTTGGTGTATAAAAATTTCTCTCTAAAATTAAAATATTCTCTATAATGCATAAAATGTTGTAAAATAATAAGATAATTATTGTTGGTTATTTAGTGTTACTATGATACATGGATAAGTTTTATTTAGTTTAGAAGATCTATTTTATTCCAATTGCAACTCTTATTTTGGACTCTATAAATATAGAACATTGGTTCATAATAATACACAATTGAGTTTTGACTCTCTATTTCTTCTCTTATTTTCTCTATTCCCTTTAGTTTTATAACACGTTATCAACATGATAACTTAATTTTTTAAAGTTTATAAAGGTAGTAATATTTTTATAAATATAAATATTTATCACATATACTAAAATTAATTTAGTGACATGTGAATTCTTTCGATGTGCATATACATCATAACCAGATTGCTTATTCTCCTATGCTTTTCGTTAGTATACATTTTAATTTTATTTTCTATTTGTATGTGTAATTTATACACATATTAATTCATATCTTTTGATTCATATACAATCATTTTTGCCACATATTATTCACTTATTAATTCTATCTTTTGAATTAGTCACATATTTGTTTTACCTTTAATTTTTATATAAATGAAATTTACGTGCATATTTAATGTCTTCTGCATGTTGGTAAAAGATTTAATCAATAAAAGATTTAGTCAATTTTGTTAACTTCTATGTATGGAGATTTTTTTTTCTAATGTTTGTTTGGTAATTAATATATAAATCCATATCATGTTTATATGGTAATTAATATATTTTTTAATCTGACTACATATTTGTATATAGTTTTTCATAAATTTTAAATTGATTATGTATAATGTTATTGTTTCTGAAGTAGCACAGCATTATTAATATTATAGAAGAATATTACTAGATCATTAAGAGCATGATATTACAGTTACAATATTCTAGAAAAATATTGACTCAATGCTCCTGAAGAAGCATAATTTAAATTATATTTATTTTGAACGAATATGATGTTGATGTTCTCGAAGAAACACAATACACGTTATATAAATATTTCAGAAGAATATTTCATTATTGCTCATGTAGAGCACAGATTATATTGTTTAGCTTGAAAAGGTAGAATGAATCATTAATGTAATATTCTAGAAAAATATTGTATTTATACTATTGAAGATTATATATCTCATTGTATTCCTAATGAAAGCACAATTTAATATAAATAAATAAATAAATAAATTTATTGATGTTTCTGAAGAAACACAACGTCATTAATATTTTAAAAAAGAATATTGATTGCTCCAAAAGAACATGATATTATAATTTCAATATTCCTAAAGAATATTGATCGGTTCTATATAAAAGCACAAATTAAATTACCATATTTATTTACGTGTCCATTTTCTACATATGTATTTAGATATTGATGTTTTGATTAAATTTTATTGCTCTTGAAGAGCATAATGATATAAAATCTAACAATAGATTACATTTTTACTCCTGAAGAGTAAATCATTAAATTGTGCTTATTACTGTAAGCAAGAATATGTTTTACACATGAAGAGCATGACATTAAAATTCTTTATATTTCAGAAGAATATTGATTTATTATTCTTAAAAAAGTAATAGTAAAATATAATATGATCTCGAAATAACACATTATAATTTTATTAATATTCTAGCTAGATTTTTCTCACTAGATTTTTATTAAACAATGTTTTTAACAAGACAGTTATTGTACAAATAATCATCAAAGGGGGAGTGATGTAAAATAATGAGATAATTATTAATGATAATTTAGTATTATCATGATACATAGATAAGTTTTATCTAATTTAGAAGATCTATTTTATTCCAATTATAACTCTTATTTTGGACCACATAAATATAGGACATTGATTCATAATAATACACAATTGAGTTTTGACTCTCTATTTCTTCTCTTATTTTCTCTCTTTTCTTTAATTTTATAACATAAAATACATTTTATAAATAAATAATCTCTTGTATATGCTCTAAGCACGGGTACTTAATTTATGCTACACTCCAATGACATGACACGTCAATCTATTGTGGATAACAAATTATATTCAAATATTGAAACTCATCCTAACTTTATCCACCAATAAATTGATGTGTCATGTTATCGTGTTTAGTAATTTCTCCATATTTGTATGTACGTAAAAATAAAAACAAGATCAAAGGCTTATCAGGTAGAAGATAAAGAATTAGAGGTTAATTATGCATACATCAATTCGATCCACTAACTTTTATGGCATGTTTGGTAACACAAGTAAGATTGTACATGACAATATAAAAAAAAAAAAAACCCTAAAATTTTTTCTCAATATTGTCAAATACTACATGCCAAACATGCTCTTAAGGTTTTGGTGTGGCGTCCATCTTCTATCAACTTAGTGGAATCCTACGTATCGTTCCATACCGTAAAAGTTGAGCCTCCATGACAAACAGCCACATTGTTAGGTCTAGCTGCAAGATTTGGCACAGCAGCAGGCATCCAGTTGTTACAATTAGCAGAGGCCTGATCATAAACACTAGCCTTCTCCATACCATCAGAAGGTTGTTGGGGTTCATAACTAATCAAGTTTCTTGTCTGATAAGGATCTCCTGATCCAAACATGAGTGGTTTTACCTCATTCTCCCCGAAACCATTTGTCTGATTTTGGTTTAATCCTTCTTGAACAAGCACCATACCCATCGGTACAGCGAAGTTACCATTACTTCCATTTGCATCGCTTAATTGATAGGATGCAGAATGTCGGTATCCATCCCCGCCAGCTCCATTGTTATAGACCAAAGAATTAGATCCTGAGTTGTGTTCCATGGACGAAGAATCCAAGCTCATGAGATTGTGCAGTACGGATGGTTGTAAGAAATTCTGCATATTTCCCGAATGAAGTTGATGAAGGTCGTGAATGTTACGATTAACTTCAAGATCATGCTCTTGTTTACACCACAAGTACCTGAAGCGGATACAATTTAACACGCTTAGTATCTCATTCGAATAAGAATATAGACTATCAATTAAAAGATGATGGATAAAAACCCATCATCATCGATATAAACAGTTGAATTCAATCTAAGCAGGACTCATTCAGTCTAATCTACATGGAAACTTCATCGTCTCAATCTAATATATGTGAAACTTCATCAGTTCAATCTAAACAGGAATAATCTTACGGGACCTCTGGTAACCGTATTAGAGCCTCATATAAGCTATTCAGCTACGCCTAATTTACCATCCTCCTAAATTATTCATTTAGAGCCCGTTTGGGAGTGATTTTGAGAATTGATTTTTTGACCGTTAGGAGAAAAGTGGGGTCCACCTGTGAGAGAAGAAGTCCAATATGACGGCTGAAATAGTGAAATAACGATCAAAAAATCAATTTTTTGGGTGAAAAAATCGCTCCCAAACAGGCCCTTAATTGTTTTTAAAATCGAGGGTCATGTACTAACTTAGGTATCTGAGAGTTACGAGAGATACCACACATTATTCGTTGCAAGTAGCACTCGACAACGGGATGCACTTTTTGACGATAACAGTACCTTTGTTGAGGATATGGGTAGTGCATGCTTAATGGCTGAGGTTGATGGAATGCCATGGCGTTGGGCCAGCCATTATTGTAGCCATTTAGTCCATCTGTTAAATGTGAAATAGGGTTTCCATTACTAGCACTTCTTTGTATATCCAAAGCCAGTTCAGCATTTTCAGCATCCTTAAGGCGTTTAGCAGCACCTCCAATTGGCAATGTGCTGCTCTCCAGTATGCTTTTCACAT